ACCTTTCCACTCTGAGAAGAACAAAGCTTTCATACACATCCGGTCTGCAGTGTGAGTGACAGTCCTTAGTTTCTAAAAAAAACTGTGCCCTACCAGCTTCCCCACACTGCTTCTGTGGATGTAGGATGCATAGATACACCGCAAGACTCAGACAGTCAGGGTGAAACCACTACAATGAAAGGCATTTTTAAAAAAGGACCTACAGGAGTAATTTAACTTGATTTTTTTTAAATTCATTTGTTTTTTAACAAATTTCAGCTAACATATGATGCCTCAAGTTTTAAACTGAAGAGCAGGTTAAACCAACCTGGGGAGATTGAATTTCATGAAAGATACTTGCTCCATCATTTGCAGAGTTATTTGTGATTTATGGATTCATGTTCCATGTAATAGAAAACACTCACTCCCTTTGGACAGTGGTCGGTGTACATGACAGTGGCTGCTGGTCAACCAGACCAAGAGCAGGCCACATAACCTTCTTCTAATCCCAGTAGCTCAACAGATTATATCGATTCAACAAATAACTTCTGGGAAGCAAGCAAAAAAACATGTCAAAATTAGGGTATGTTTCCAATGTGACCTTTGAAGTTCCTGAAAAATTGACCACTAAATTCAGCAGAAATTGGTGTTGAAATGTCTACGTGAAAAGACTTGAAAACCCTGATTTTCAGCAAACCATGGTGAATTGTTTTGCGAATGGGACTGGATCTGTAGTGTAGGAACACCAATAATCACTCCTGCTACATGGCAAAGTGATGGATGAAAAACAAACTAATTGCAGGCAATCAGAAGAATTTTGAACCACAACAAGGCCAGTTTAGAACAAGTCATCCCCTTGTTCACCCATCTCATAAAGAAGATGTCATCCTGGAAAACAGGGAATGTTTTCCTGATGGTACAATCCATACCACAACAGCAGTAGGATGAAAAGATATATTCAAAGCTCATTTTAGAAAATTAGTTGCTAATTGCCCTGAGCTGATGCTTACTTAACTGTGTGATCCTAGGATTAAGGGGAAAGTGGCACTCCAATACAACAGTTCGAAATACTGGTGGGACACACACAGGGTCTGTGATATGTAGTGAAAGAGAGGCATGATAGTTGAGGAAGATTTGCAGATTGAACCGAACATGTCATTGTCTGCTGTGCCGAGCAGCATAATCCCAAACACAGCATATTTTATTATCTGCAATTTGTACAGAGGTTCTTGGTAGTTTTGTAGGAGAAAGTGCATCAGCAAGCGACCAAAAGAAGGGTATTAGTGCCTCTCAAATGACCAGAGCTTACCTGTCGGAAAGTCCTTTGCCTCCTACTGTTGACCCTCACTATACAGACCAGCATCAAACTTTAATGCCATCTCATAATGCTGCCCTATTGCAGAGGACATCCAATTGCTTTGGCTAGCTGCTTGGTGTCTCTGAGTATTACTAGCAGAATATATATATCTTATACATTTTCCCCTTAAGGATGGTAGGCATTCTAAACGCCGGCGGGCGGCATAGAACGCCCAAGCCATCCTATGTACTTACCCGGTCGCCGGCGATCGCTGTTGGGGGGACTACCCTGCCATCCCAGGAGTCCTCCTGCTGCCGTTCTGGCCTCCCTGGGCCATATGATCGTGAGGTCCTTGCGAGGACCTCACGATCACATGGACCACATAGCCATCCACAGCATTGCCAGCAGGGGGACTGCCTGGAATGACAGGTATTCTCCCTGCTGCCTGTAAAATGAATAAATAAATGTTTAAAACAGTTTAAAATTAAATAATATATACTTTTATATATATGATCTAAGTATATATATATATATATATATATATATATATATATATATGCATTTACACATACACACACATACATTGTCTAAGTGTATTTTAATATTAATATATATAATTATATACATATATTAATATCAAAATACATGTAGAATGATATTGATTAAATATATATACTGTATATACTCAAGTATAAGCCGGGTTTTTTGGCACATTTTTTTGTGCTGAAAAATCCCCGCTTCGAGTCAAGGTCTGTATTATGGCAACTTACATTGCCATAATACAGACCAGGACTGCCGAGCTCATTACAAGCCCGGCGGTCCTGTTGGGGGCCGGCAGGAAGCATTTACTTACCTTTACAGCAGCTCCGTGCAGCTCCCCTGTCAGCTCCGTTCGCCTCCCCTGCTCAGCTCACAGTGTAAGTCTCGCAACACCCGCGGCTGTCAAAGCGTTGCCACGGGTTATCGTGGCAACGCTCCACACGGCACGCAGACCGCCAGACTTGCACTGTGAGCGGAAGGGAACAGAGGTGAACGGAGCTGACGGGAGCTGCACGGAGCTGCTGTAAAGGAAAGTAAATGCTTCCAGCTGCCCCCCCCCCCCCCACTGCACAGCCCATCCACTGGACCACTAGGGAATGATATAGCCCCCCTCCCTGGCCAGGTAACAAGCAGGGAGGGGGGACTAAAAAAGAAAACCTAAAACTCAATTTTAAAATAATATTAAAATAAAATGAAAAAATGAAAATAATAATAATAAAATAATATTAAAAATAATAAAAATACCTCCCACCCAGTTTACACACACTCTGCATAATATACACACACTGCATAATATACACACAGAGTGTGTGTGTGTGTGTGTGTGTATATAATGCAGTGTGTGTGTGTGTGTGTATAATGCTGAGTGTGTGTTTGTATGAGTGTCTAAAATGCAGAGTGTGTGTGTGTATATAATGCAGAGTGTGTGTATGTATATATACCTCTATGTAAATAAAAATCATTAAAAAAAGATATGTATATATATATACACACACACGTATATATATAATAATTCTACATATATATTTATGTAATAATTTTACATAATTAGGTCATTTCATTAATTACAGTTTGTGGGACCTGCCTGACAACCCAGGCCGAAAGTCCAGGGAATTTAATTTGCTAGCACTATATTTAACCCTGTAACTTTCCAATACACCATAAAACCTGTACATGGGCGGTACTGTTTTACTTGGAAGACATCGCTGAATACAAATATTAGTGTATCAAAACAGTAAAATGTATTACAATTATGATATCGTCGGTGAAAGTGAAAATCTTTTGCATTTTTCACTCACAAATGGCATTTACATGGACAATATAATTGTTGTGATACGTTTTACTGTTTTGAAACACTAATAATTGTGTTCAGCGAAGTCTCCCGAGTATAACAGTACCCCTCATGTACAGGTTTTATGGTGTTTTCAAAAGTTACAGAGTCAAATATAAGGCTTGCGTTTCAGTTTTTTCACATTGAAATTCGCCAGATTGGTTACGTTGCCTTTGAGACCGTATGGTAGCCAAGGAATTAAAATTACCCCCATGATGGCATACCATTTGCAATAGTAGACAACCCAAGGTATTGCAAATGGGGTATGTCCAGTCTTTTTTAGTAGCCACTTGGTCACAAACACTGGCCAAAATTGGCGTTCAAATTAGTTTTTTGCTTGTTTCACACACAAACAAATAGTAACACTAACTTTGGCCAGTGTTTGTGACCAAGTGGCTACTAAAAAAGACTGGACATACCCCATTTGCAATACCTTGGGTTGTCTACTATTGCAAATGGTATGCCATCATGGGGGTAATTCTCATTCCTGGGCTACCATACGGTCTCAAAGGCAACGTAATCAATCTGGCAAATTCAATGTGAATAAAATGAAAAATGTAACATGCTATATTTGACCCTGTAACTTCCCAAAACACCAATAAAACCTGTACATAGGGGGTACTGTTTTACATGTGAAACGTCGCTGAATACAAATATGTTTATTTTTTTGCAGTAAAAGCAAACAGTATTATGACATTCACAGTTAAAATGTCACGTAGAACTAAAAATTTTTTACAAATTCTTATTTTCTTCCATTTTGTATGATGTTATTCATATTAAATTATGTTTGTACCTAAATATTTGATGTTAAATGAAAGCCCTGCTACCCCTAAATAAAATGATATATAATAAGTGTGGGTGCACATAATATGAATTACACCTGAACAGACATATAGTCAAATTCAATCTTTTGTTCACGTTTAGTTTTAATCACAACATGTACATTTGGCTCTGTCCTTAAGGGGTTAAATAGAAAGGAAAACATTGTAAAAAGGTTTACCTGTCTCAAACATCCACTACTTTGACAAAGGCAAACTTTTTTTAAAAAAAGAGATGCCTCACTTTTGTACCTTTTTTTTTTTTTTTTTTAATCATGGTTAGTTTCTAACATGCAAGGAAAGTGGTCTGGCTGTACTTTCATGAGGAATGTTGAATAGAACTATGCAATAAATAGAATCATAGCTTTTTCACTGTTTCTTACAGCTTCAGATGAATATCTATATATTTTATTTTTGCAGTATGAAAATGGGTCAGATTGTAAGTATTAGTCACACCATTCCACCAAATTGTCCATTTCAAACTTACAAAGATTTACAGAATCATTGGAACATGCTGGTATGTAGATACCTACAATATGTATCTAAGCAAAGCTTTTTCTTAAGTGTGCCAAATCAAAGTATTCCATTCCACATTTAGTGGAAAAAAGGTTTTTAAATTTAAAATGTTTTTCCACCTAGCTTAATCAAATTCTCTCTCATATATATATATTATAGTTAAATGCCCCCTCTCATAATATTGTAAAGCGCTACGGAATCTGTTGGCGCTATATAAATGGCAATAATAATATATAAGTGGGCTGCACTCATCTGAACAAGATTACATTATAGGGTGCTGCTGGGGCCAAAATATACAAAATACACAATCCAGCACACTCGCTTATTCACTAAACAATGATTTCAAATCTTAGAAATTGTAATAGATTTATTTAAAAATACCTCACCTAGGTAAGAAATAATGGGGATTTAGTTACATTATATGATCATATATTGCATAAGCCTGCCACAACGTCAATGTTCCCCATTCTTGGCAGGTCCTACTCTAGCAGCCTAATGCTTGCCCTTACACTGATGTTGTGGCAGGCTTATGCAATATATGATCATATAATGTAACTAAACCCCCATTATTTTTTGCCTAGGTGAGGTGTTTTTAAATAAAACTATTACAATCTCTAAGATTTGAAATCATTGTTTAGTGAATAAGCGAGCATGCTGGATTGTGTATTTTATATGTATATATAAATTTAAACATACTGTGCCGTGAATAGATAAGGATAATAATATTACTTGGCTGGAAATAAAATTATATCCTGTTATGTTCTGTTTTTGTTCTTAACCTTATTGCGCATATCATGTATTCGTTATACACTGCTTTATCCGCAACAACTTTTTAAGGTGTGTTCTGATCCATTAATATTTTTCACATTTTAGTATGGGTATACGCTTCCTGATATCGAGGATGAAAATATGATATATTGCAGCGTTTATTTTAAGTTAATAGGAGAGAAACTCTTCACGTATCCTTTAACTGCTGAAAATGCATTTTTATGAATTATCTGACTTAGGAAACCTTAATTTTAAGAATCATTTGTCAGGTAATTTTGGATGTTTACATTGATGCTTACTTTTCTGTCTTTTATGTTTATTTACTAAAGTAGGAATTCAAAGTTATTTTAAAATTTAAGTCCATCGTAGCTGAAGCGAATACGTAGCTGAGAGAATTTTTCTAGTTTGGATTTTTTTTTTTATTCTTTATTTTTAGTGTGCACAAAAGTAACATTAAGCCTTGGTGTGCCACAACAGCGACATCAGGGTACGTTAATAAACATTTGCATTACAGGTTGTGGTAATCGATTATCAGGCACATTTTTAGTTAAAGATAACAAAATTGCAACAGTTTAGGTTCTCGATTAATGTAAACAATGGATTTTTCAATGCAATTTAAAATAAAAACATGTTTAGCTCAGTGATGCTTCATTGGTAAAAGTAAGGTAAACATGCAAACCTGCGTGTGTACACTAGTCGTGCAGATTGTGAAACAGGCTTATCAACAATTCAAGAACAAAATACACATGCCTAGTCGTAGTAGGGAGTATATGTCTATCTATGTGGACTCGTCAGACATGTGAATGCTAGCTACAACATCTATAAAAGAATGCATGTGCAAGCTGTGTGGTGTGAGTTAGCTTCTATGGTGAAAAATAGCATGTATGCGGTAGAGGGATGTGTTGCGTGATAGTGTTGTAGTTTGTTTCGGATTAACAATCCGATATGAGTGAGTAGCGTGATGTGAGAGGTTCTATATCTCTGTGTGTGGTATGTAGTCGCATGAAGGTATGTTTGCTGGGAAAGCACTATTTTGGGGCTAATGATGAGACTCATTGCTGCTCTGAGGTTAAGTGGGAAAGCAGGGCACAAGTCCACAGCGAAAAAGGGCAGTGGCACTGCTTGGTGGGTACAGTTCTGCATGGCCTCTGTCTTCCCCAGCAGCCATCACCTGCCAGTCTGCGGGTCTGCGTTCCACTCAGCCGATTCATTGGGATGGCAGGTCCTCTAAGCAGGCTTGGGAGATGGTGGGGTTGTCGGTGGGGAATGCCACAGGGAGGCAGGTTTTGCGTTGTGGAGGTGAGGTGGGGCACAGGTAGTCCATACAGCCTGGTAGACTCAGGTGGGTGGTAGTGTGTTGGAGCTCCAGTGTGGTGCTGTGGGCTAACGCGTGTGGTTGGTGTCAGATGATTTTACCCTGCATCCCCATGTGGGGCCCTGCCGCTTTCCATCCCCAGTGTGATGGCCTTGGTAACGAGGGTGGTGATGGGTAAGGTTCCTGGCTAAGTCCATGAATCGGGACAAGTCCCTTAGGGTATCTCTGTGCCTGTGAGTGGTGCTGTAATGTGTGACTCCTCGGCCCGGGTGAGTTGGGAACCTGGAGTCGGTCTTTGCCCGATCGTCGTGCCGTGCAGCGGCGGCGTCTGGGGTAGGCATTTCTGTGGTGGTGCCCCACTCGGGTGTTCTTGGATGCTGTATGGCGACGCAACCGCCGAGTCGCTTGATGGGGATCGATGGGTGATGGTCGCTGTAAGGGAGCCCAGGAGGGGCAGGTAGACCTAGTCTGCCCTCCAGCTACCTCCAGAATGCCTCAAAGTGGTGGTTCAGTCTTGCGAGGACATCTTGTGTGGCGTCGATTGAGTCGGTAGCACATGCCGTGTCTACCATTTTAGGTGGGCCTCTGTTTGTTGTTGTGGTCGACATTCCACCTCTCAGCATGCCTGGGACAACTGCCCCTAGGTGGACCGGGATCACCCCCGCCAGTCCTGGGGGTGGGATAACAGGGCTTGTTTGTGCAGCGAGCAGCCTCAGGGCGCCTCCGGGTCAGGGGAGCGGCCGCCTCCCCCGCCCTGCGTATACCAGGCTGCAATGCCGTACATGGTTCCATCTGGCTCCGATCAGGTAGCAGGACGTTCCGCTGTGTGCCCCTTGGTGTGGATGGCCAGTGGGTGTTCACATTTGCTGGTTGTGTCGTTTGTGTGAGCCCTTTATTGCTCATTTTGCCGAGATTGTGCAGGAGCTTGTGTAAAATGTGTCTCTCAGCCATGATGGTCAGACCCCGCCCCCTAGTTTGGATTTTGTGCCTTAAATTTGAAATTCACTTTGTATTCTCACTTTAACTAATAAACCTGTTAAAATTGTTAGTGATTTTATTTATTTTTGTTAAATCACTTTATGGCTTTCATATGTGTTTTGTGTATTCATCCTTAATTGTATGATGCAGATATCCCCTTATTTGCCTTAGAGGTCAGCCTATCCAGTATTTCCCCCGCATAGATTTGTTAGAGGTTCTTACTACCTTTATTTCTGATTTAAATTGCAACATGTCTCAAATTTGTGGATTTCCAGTATTGTTGACTACTAAACCAGTATATCCAGTTGCAGAATTAACTAGCGCACAATCACAGGTACATGCTACATTTTCAGATATTTATAAGAAACGTGCCTATATAAAGAGATATTGCATGACATGTTTTTTCCTATAGAACTTCATTATGAAATTAAACAGTTTTTTTTTTAACCACTAGAGGGCTCTTGATGTTTATAAAACAAAATAAAACTGCAATAAAGCTGATTCATTAGTCAGAGGTGCTCAGTTTCTTTGAATAAGTCCATACTAATTCTAGTAACTACATGCCACACTCGTTTTGTGTCTCAATAAAAAATATGGCACAGTGTAGGCTAATTTATATGTGTACAGTGTTATTGATATCTGATTCTACCACAATCAAGTAGGCACTATGTGTGAATGCTTGTTATTGAAGTGTTAGCTAACAGCAGTATAAATGACAGTAATCTCAACAGCAAGCTGCACCATGTAGTATGCTTCACTTATGTGTATTTATGCAAAATGAATGATTTAGTTCAACATGGTTATATATTTTTGAAATGCTGGTTTAAAATCTGTTTTTAAAGTACACCGATCACGACAAACATTGTTTGACTTCACTTTACAGAAAATCAGATCTCAGCTAAACATTGTGTTAGCCATATTGCTAGTTAACGAGTACTTGAAAGGTCATTCCAACTGTATTTTTTACCTCCCTTTCATATGGTCAAGGAATGACTATCTGTGCAGGGCTTGTAACACATGCACAGGAGATGACTACTGTTTGATCAGTAAAAACACAAAACACAGGTAAAGACACTGCATAATAACCATTTGTTATTTTATAGCAACAATAAAGCAGTATTTAAAACAGTATGTAAATGTTGGGTTATGTAGGTCATCCCTACTAAGTACCTTTCTGATTCAGTCTATTAATTTTATTAATGACACGGAGGCTCCTATTATGCTATCTCTTTCTTACTTTATTCCTCAGCAGCAAAGAGAAATATAAAACTGAAAGAGAAAAAATTTAGATATGCAATAATAATAATAACAGGTACAACCAGATCTGCCTAGTAACAGGGCAGCCAATCAGCTTAGTAGGAACAGTCCATAAATGCCTTGCTTAGTACTTCCACTTTCTCTTTCTTTGCTGCTGTCCTCAGACCAGCTAAGTATTAATTTCACTCCTGTATATTTTAATCTTGGATTGTTTTTATGGGTTTATCTACTGATATATTTAATGTATTATGTACTTGTATGCTGCTTTGTGCACCCTATATGATTTCTGTGTTTTGCTTTGATGTTTTTTGGCACCCCTTTTGGGTGTCTCTGTTTCTTCCCCTGCTTTGCACGGTCTCCCTGCCTGCGCTGTACCTTTTGTGTGCACAGACAGGGACAGCGGCTCACTGGGGAAGCTGTTTTCTCGGAAGCTGCTGTGCTCCCTGACCGCCCTCCCTCCTCCCCTCGCGACCGCATGTGCGGCCGCGTGCGGCGACCCGCTCTACCTCCGGCCGTGTGTGTTTTTTCCAGCGAGCTCCCCGGCCATTGGCGGGGAAGGAGCTTGGGGCTGCAGCATGCTCTGCACGCGGCGGCCATCTTCTTTCACACACGTGGCTGCTGGCGGATCCGGCGGTCGGCTCCCTTTACCCCTGTGTTTTCTCCACAGGTATTTGCTTTGTGGGTTACTCAACCCCTGTTCTGTAGTTTAGGTTTTTACTCCATCATACTGTTATAACATTGTATTCTGAGACTGGTGGCCTGGCTCACATAATATTTATTGTGGCTTAATATTTTATCTGTGTATATTTAAAGGGACATACCCCTTTTTATCCACAAGCTTATTTACCCTCCTGTCTATCATGCAGGCTAAGGGTGATGATTCTGGCTGTCCCAGCTACCCCACCATGGAAGCCTTTCAGGCCCCTATCTCAGGTGAAGGGGGTCTCACCCCCTCTCAGGAGTTCCAGGCCCTTATTGATTCTACTATGCAAAGGGCCCTGGCCTCTGCCATGGGGACAGTCTCATCATCGCTGTCTCACACTATCCAACAGGCCCTGACTCAGCCCCTGGCTTCTCCTATGTTGGCAAGCCTCCTGCCTGCGCTGCAACCTCAGGTCAGCCGCAAAGCATATGCCAAAACTAAGCATGTCTCCCCCGATATGACACAGGTGGTACCTGCCCTGACTGACGTGTCTATGGCTGTCCAAGATGGCGCAAGAGAGCCGCTGGCCGGGCAAAATCGGCCAGAAAGTGGAAAAGGGCGCGTGCCAATGACAATGGCGGGTCTGATTCAGATCCAAGTGGGGAGACAGGTTCGGACACCCCCGACTACGCCTCTTATGAGGAAGGGGACTCCGACGCGGAGACGGGGTCTGACGCTTCGGCGTTACCTCCGAGTGAGGAACAAGGCATATGCGATTCGCAGGGTTACCCCCTGTTCGATCCTGATGACCTTCACCACCCTCGCTCGGTGGAATGGGACCCGCCCGAGCATATAGCTAGCTATCTAGCGCTTCGTATGCGTACCCCCTTATCCAAGGAAGGGCGCAGTAAGTTACGGGCCGAATGCCCAAGGCCCTCAGTGCCTGATGCGGCGTGTAAGACGCCAGAGGTTGACCCTCAGATCTCACAGTTCCTGACAAAAACGGGCTGGAAACCCAGAAAGGGTTTGGAGTTTTCACTCCATAATTGCCAGGACAAGATTTTGGACACTCTAGGTCCCGTGACTAAGCTTTATGAGCTATTGGAGACGGCTAAAACAGGGGATACCCCCCTGGATTTCGATGTAGCAATAGGTTGGGTCCAGAGATTGATTTGCCTACTTGGCAATGCTAACACGGCTATGTCAGCTGAACGCCGCAAGGCGATCCTGCTTAAAATCGAACCTAAACTGGTTAACCTTGCGGTCAAGGAACCAGGCGCTGCCGCTAAAGGTATGCTCTTTGGTGAGTCTTTTGTTAAAGACTTGGGCTCTTTTGTGCGCACCTTCACCGCCCTAGATAAGGCCCAATCCAACCTTAAGAGAGTTTTTGGTCCAAAGGTTTTCAACAGGGCCGGGAGGTATAGGAGCCGTCCGCCCGGCCTTGGAAATCGAGGTCCCTCACGGACTCAACGAGGTTCCTTTGCTGCCCCTCGGGCCTATCAGGACTACAAACCCGCTCCCTTCTTTCCCTCCCGCGGGAGGACATGGCAGAATCGGGGAGGACGTGGCCAACCCTCATACAGACGCCCTTATGGTGAGTACTCAAAAAGGTTTTTCTCTCCGGGCGAGTGTGGGAGGCAGGTTGGCTTTGTTTCTCGACATGTGGGGCATGATCACCACGGATGTGTGGGTGTTAAATACTATCAAAGGCTTTCGCCTGGATCTTTTGTCTCCCCCTATCCAGGTGGACTCACCTCAGGAACTGAGGTTGCCGGAAGATCAGTCCGGGCTGATTACCAAGGAGATCTCGGAACTTCTGGCCAAATGGGCAATACAAGAAGTCCCGTACGATCATACGGGATTTCTAAGCAACCTGTTCCTCGTCGCCAAGAAAGGCGGAGGTGTTCGGCCGGTGATCAATCTCAAGCGACTCAACGGATTCCTTCGTTACCATCACTTCAAGATGGAGGGCATACATTGCCTCAGGGATCTGCTTCGGCAAGGGGATTGGATGGTCAAGCTAGACCTCAAGGACGCATACCTGACTATACCTATGGCAGAGGTACACTGGGACTTATTGCACTTTACGTGGCAAGGACGTCGGTGGAGGTTTACCTGTCTGCCCTTCGGTCTCTCTTCAGCACCTTGGTGCTTCACAAAGGTGATGAAGACGGTGGTGGCGTTCCTAAGGTCGCGGAGCGTACGCATGATTATCTACCTGGACGACATACTGATTATGTCCGCGTCCCCCGATCAACTTCTAGAACACCTGAGCTGGACGGTAAATCTTCTGGAGAGCTTAGGTTTTCTCATAAATTGGGAAAAGTCCATGGTGACCCCATCGCAGAAAATAGAATTTCTGGGTTTCGAAGTCGATTCGGTCGCCCAGTTTCTGTTCCTTCCAGAGACCAAGCTAAAGGCTATGAAGAAAGAAATAAGACGTACTCTACGGACCACCAGTCTCTCCGTACGACAATTGGCGAGGGTCATTGGTCTTTTGGCCTCCTCCATTCAGGCAATATTTCCGGGACCCCTACATTATCGGGCCCTACAACGTCTGAAAGGATCCCACCTTCGCTCGGGCAGTTCGTACGAAAGCGAACTATGCCTGGACAGAGACTCCAAGGAGGAACTTCGATGGTGGTTGGATCATATGGAGGCATGGAATGGTCGAGCAATCTTCGGCACCGCCCTGGACATGGTGATAGAATCGGATGCCAGCCTGCATGGCTGGGGCGCTCGCTGTGGAGATATCTCCACAGGTGGCAGATGGTCCGAAATCGAATCAAAGCTACACATCAACTGTCTGGAATTGCTGGCGGGATCGTTTGCTATTCGCAGCCTGTCTCCAACCCTGGGAAACTGCTGCATCCTTCTGCGTATGGACAATGTGTCCGCGGTCAGATATATAAATCACCTAGGTGGCACGAAATCAAAACAACTGGCGAATCTAGCAAAGGATTTCTGGCAGTTCTGCCTCCACAGCGCGGTGTCGGTCATGGCCGAACACATCCCGGGTTTGGACAACGAAGGGGCGGACTGGAATTCGCGATACTTGAAAGACTGCAGAGATTGGCATCTGTTACGTTCGATCTTCCGACAGATCGACTATGGGGCCCGTTACAACTGGACTTGTTCGCATCCAGACTGAACGCTCAACTACCCCAATACTTCAATTGGAGACCGGATCCATCAGCCACGGCGGTGGATGCGTTCCTGCAGATATGGCCTCGGGGTCGTCACTTTCAACCTGATCTCTCGGACGCTGGCATACTTGTCCGGACAAGAATGCACGTTGGTGGTGATTGTTCCCCTATGGCAGACTCAGCCTTGGTTTCCACGTCTTTTGGAGATGGCGGCGGAGTGCCCACGGATGATCAGGATGCGATCAGAGGTGCTTTTGGATCCGGATGGGAACTCGCACGACTTAGTGGACCCGAACCTGCTCCAGCTCATGGCTTGGTTGATTTCCGGGGACCCTGGTGTGTCTCGGACGTTCCGCAGGCTACTACAAGACTCCTGGAGAATGCCTGGGCACCGGGGACCAGAACAGCTTACAATGCTGCATGGCGTGTGTGGTCTGGCTGGTGCGTGGGCAGACTGCTGGATCCCCTTTCTGCCCCTCTGAAGGAGGTGCTCAGTTTTCTGACCACGCGTTTTGAATCTGGTTTGGCCTATCGCACTATCAATGTTTATAGATTGGCCATTTCAGCCGGACATATAGGTATTGACGGATCACCGATTGGACAACATCTTTTTGTGTGCCGTTTGTTGAAGGGTATTCGTTACTCTAGGCCTCCGAAATCCAAATATTCATCGTTTTGGGATGTTAACGTGGTGCTGGACTTCTTGGAATCATGGCCTCCTAATGAGGACCTGTCACTGAAGCAATTATCCTGGAAATTGGTTATGCTCCTGTGTCTCCTTTCATGCAAAAGGGTTTCAGATGTCAGGGCTTTGGACTGGAACGCATTATCCTTCACCCCCGAGGGAGTGTCGTTTAACATCTCTAGGAGGACGAAGACGTCTTCTAAGTCCGTGACCTACCCTAGGTGTTCAGTCCGACCTGCTCTGTGTCCGGTAACTTGCCTACAAGTGTACTTGGATCGCACTCACCTATTGAGGTCATCGGATTTATCCCAATTGTTTATTTCATTTAAGAAACCGTTTCTCCTCGACTACGTTAGCTCGTTGAATTAAGAACCTTCTATCCGCTGCAGGAATTGACACTTCAATATTTTCGCCAAGGCCTCCACGATGGGATGTCGTATGGATGATATCCTGAAGGTAGCGGATTGGTCTAGAGAATCTACGTTCCGCGATTTTTATTTCCGCCCGATTGACCATGTTTCCTCGTTAGTTATGGCTCAGCTTTAAACTAGCATAATAGGAGCCTCCGTGTCATTAATAAAATTCCCAGATTTTACTAATAACATGACGTAAAGTCATGATTTTATTAATGACACGGAGGCGAGTACTATTCCCACCCTCCCACCCAGTGGGTATGGTTTGGGTCTATACTTATGGTTCAATCAGGTGGGGGCTCTTTTACCTCAAGGTAAGTGTTCATAGTTTTCTCTGACTTATTTGGATCTATGTACTTATGTGGTTCCGATTTGACGTTTTTTAGTCCTGCAGGCCAGATTGTCATGAAATGTTACATGCAGGTCCAGAGTTTGGATTTTACCTACCTTTTCTCTGTTTTACAGCTTGATTTCGTTAAGATGACGTCTACCTTGTTGGAGATTGTTCTTTTCTGATGTGGAAGTTTGGTTTGGGTCTTCGGTTCAGAAGGCAAAGAAGAGGAAGTGGAAGTACTAAGCAAGGCATTAATGGACTGTTCCTACTAAGCTGATTGGCTGCCCTGTTACTAGGCAGATCTGGTTGTACCTATTATTATTATTATTATTGCATATCTACATTTTTTTCTCTTTCAGTTTTATATTTCTCTTTGCTGCTGAGGAATAAAGTAAGAAAGAGATAGCATAATACTCGCCTCCGTGTCATTAATAAAATCATGACTTTACGTCATGTTATTAGTAAAATCTGGGTATTTGTACCTATTAGTTTTTAACAAAATCTTGCCAGGACTGTCATGATATCATGGGATTAGCCAACCCTTTATTGTGAAGAGGTAAATGTCACTTCTTGTTTATTGCTTTTTGTGTTTACCTACTAAGCAATAACATAGTTGTGCTGTTCCTTGCTTTATATATTGAAAAAGTTTTACAGTCTACTAATATCATGTAAAAAATGTTTGTATGAGAAGTTTATATTTTGTAACATCTCTTCCAAGTATTAAGTTTAAATGTATATTTAGATATATTAATATAGAATATTGGATATTAATATTGTTTACATTTTTATGACAGGGCAACAGCACAAACCTAGTGAATGTGACGACACAATTGAGTTCAAAATCCCAAGCACAAACATCAAAAACACTAAAAATCCTAAATAATCCTGCAGCATGCAGTGCAGAACCAGACCAAGCAATGGAGTCAATGATTCAGCAATCAAGACCTTATGTATTTGGAAAGCTGCATGCAACAAACCATATGTCTCCAGCACAGATAAATATAAAGCAAACAATGCCAACCCAATTACCACCCAGATCTCAGCATTCATCACTGACCCAGACTAAGAATGCGGAAAGAACTGGACGGACATTAAAAAGAGATGTTATCCAAGTGAACCAAAAGTACAAAAAAACTGCAAACACACAGAAAAGAGATGCATTAAGCACCACACTAGACAGTGAACAGTACAGCTGTGAAGGATTAACTGCTAATATCCCTCAAACTCCTAATATGCATAACAAAACCACCATAGACATTGCAGGGAAAAAAATTAAACAAGTACCCAAATCTAGTGCCAGCTCATACAGATTTTTGTTTAGTCATAAACCTCCATCTAATGGAAACGTTAATACTTCTGCAAAACATACAGCAGGTCTTGTAAATGAAAAAGGACAGTCAAATCCAGACAGACATACTATTCTTAATCATTCACCATGCCCAGGTTCACTGGCAACACAGCCTAAAGGTGGAAGTGGGTTTGAGATGAAGAGAAGTGATGTGTTATTCTCAAACACAAGCAATAGCCAAACATATTGCCCAGAGAAAAGTGATACCCATACAGCATACAAAAGAAAACTAGAACACAGCAGCATAAATGTTTGTGAGCCAATTCATACTAGTGCATCTTGCTTGAGTTATTCTAAAGACTGTAGGCTGGTAAGGCTTTTTTATGTATCTGTTTTATTATGGATAAAAGCATTAAGCATTATGGATAAAACACTTCCCACTAGATACATTTTAGATTTACTCCTGTAAAAAATAAAACAAAGGAAAAGAACAAGCTAATAATAATATGGTGGGTGTGATATTATTACAATTATTTGATTTATTAATGAACATAAATAAATAATTTAAAATAAGGAAAATTAAGAGACCACTAATTAAATGCAGGTATAATGTGAGCACTCTCAGATATGAGCAAAATCACAATAAAATGCAATTAAATAACTGCCCTAGTGTTAAGAAACTGCTTGTCAAAATTATGTGTCCAAAGTGCCACCAGTACACAGGAAAGTGCAAATAAACTAAAGAAAAAGCAGGTTATAATAAGCCAGTATAATATACCTCTTATTTACCAATCCTATTCATTTTCTGCTTTCTACCAAGAGCAGCAAATTAAGTGTATGTCAAAGTTACAACATTCTGCAAAGTGATCCTGTGCAGTAGTCTCTACTTCCACATGCTTCCACACTGGTAGAACACATGAGCAGCCACTCACACATGACCACATGATGCTGAATGAATAATAATAATTTAGTCCAGGTTAAAAACACTCTAGAGCCGTAAATATTTCATTTATTTAGATCAGTGGTTACCAACCTTTTTTCACTTGTGTACCCCTTGGCAGTCCATTTCCATAAATTGTACCCCTCATATTAGCAAAATGTTGGTAATTAATATAGTTGTTATTATTTCAAATGTATACATTTTTCTATGTCCCATCTCCCCTTGTCAAAGCCCTAGGCTCCCCCATGCTTCTCCTCGTCCTCAGGCTCCCCCTGCCTCTCATCTGACCCAGACCTCTCCCTGTTCCTCCTCTGCCCCAAGCTCCTCCTTCTACTCCTCTGCCTCAGACACACAAACTGTCACACATGCCGATACACAGACACACACTGACACACATACAGGTACACAGACACATACCCTGACACACAGATACATACACTGACACAAAGATACATAAACTGACACATATGTAGATACAGTGAAATCTAGATACATACACTGACACACATGCAGATAGACAGGCACACACACACACAGATACTCCCAATGAAACACAGATACACACACTGACACACATACAGGCACAGATTCCCACACTGACACACATATACACTGACACACATGTAGATACAGATACAGACACTGGCACACAGATACCAACCCTGACACAAAGATACATACCCTGACACACATGTATATACCCAGACAAACAGATACATACATTGCCACACTTAATGATACATACCCTGACACACAGATACATACCCTGACACACAGAAACATAGATACATACCCTGATACACAGAAACATAGATACATACACTGACACACTTAAGGATGCTTACCTAGACACACATACAAACACACAGATACACACACTGACACACAGATACATACCCAGACACACATATAGACACACTGACATACATACAGATACACAGACACACATGCAGACACAAAAAGACACACATTGACACACAGATACAGACCCTGACACATAGATACAGACCCTGACACACAGATACACATACACACACAGACACACACATGCAGATACACACACTGACACAGAGATACACACCCTGACACACAGATACACACCTTGATACCTAGATACATACCCTGACACACAGATACATGCCCTGACACACAGATACACCCCCTGACACACAGATTGACACACATATACATACCCTGACACACATGCAGATACACAGACACATATATACATACACTGACCCACTTAAGGATACATACCCTGTCACACAGATAGACACACTGACACACATTCAGACACACAGATACCCACACTGACACAGAGATATACACATTGACATACAGATACATACCCTGACACACTGACACATATGCAGACATACTGACATCCATGTAGATACACAGACATACATGATGATTCACGGACAAACATGCAGATACACAGACACACAGACACTGACAATGGGTATTTATTTGTGTGTCAATGTGTGGATCTCTGTATCAGTGTGTGTGTCTCTGTGTATCTGCATTTGTGTCAGGGTATGTATATGTGTGTCATCTGTTTGTTGGTATGTATCGCTGTGTCAATGTGTGTATACTTGTATATCTGCATATGTGTCTGTTTATCTGTGTGTCAATGTATGTGTCTTTTTGTCAGGGTATGTATCTGTACGTGTGTATCTCTGTGTCAGTGTCTGTATCTCTGTGTCAGTGTCTGTATCTCTGTGTCAGTGTCTGTATCTCTGTGTCAGTGTCTGTATCTGCATGTGTGTCAGTGTGTATATCTGTGTGTCAGGGTATGTATCTGCATCAGGGTGTGTATCTGTGTGTCAGGATATGTATCTATGTGTCTGTGTATCTGCATGTATATCCGTGTATGTATCTGTCAGTGTGTCTGTGTGTCAGAGCGTGTATCTGTGTGTCAGGGTATGTATCTGTATGTGTGTCAGTGTATGTATATGTGTGTCTGTGTATCGGCATGTGTGTCAGGGTATGTATCTGTGTGTCAAGATTTGTATCTGTGTTTTAGGGTGTGTGTCTTTGTGTCAGTGTGTGTATCTCTGTGTATCTGCATGTGTGTGTCTGTGTATCTGCATTTGTGTATGTGTATCTGTGTGTCAGGGTATGTATCTGTGTGTTAAAGTGTGAATCTCTGACATATGTATATATGTATGTATGATGATCTCAGCCAAGGAGGCCGGCTGGGGGCGGAGCCAAATGCTGCCCTGGCCAATCAGCATCTCATTAAGATGAATTGCAAAGTTCAGCATTT